CAGATGCTTGGGAGGATGAAAGAGAAGAAAGTTTTTTTTTCCTTTCTTTTTTTTGAAGGTTTATATAAGAGATTTCATAACGGCTGCTCTCCTTACATGCACTAGCCTATAGTTTCCAAGTGGAAATGCTTTAAATGGCAAGTATACTTTTACGCAAGAACACCATCAATCAATGCACCACCGCCCATCCCTCTCTTTTACAGGTGGTCATTACGGCACCTGAGAGGAGAGGAGGGCTAGCGGGGGGCTAGGCGGCTGGAGAACTGTGGGGAAATGAAGATGGAGGCAGGGGTCCGTGGAGGGTGGTGTGTGTGTGTGTGTGTGTGTGTGTGGAGAGACAGTCTGAGGGCTAAACGCTCCCACAGGGCTTTTGTGAGAAACAGGAATAATCTGGCTCCGGCTCTGGCGCTGGCAAAAGTAGAAGGCCTCACTCAGGACCAGGGTTGCCATGGCAACTGGCGAGCCCAGCTCGTCGGATCCAAGCGAGCCTGCTTCCACATTCGTGCGTATGGAAAGCACACATGTACGCGCATAAGAGAATTGATTGTGTGCGCGAACATGTTTGTGTAGATGTGCATGTGTGTGTGTAGGTCTGCCAGAAGACAAGGCAATTTCATCCTCAACCTGAACACATTTAGCCAGGAGCAAATTATTTTTTATCATGTGACAGCCTTCACCAGCGCTTGCCCAGCTTTCAGCATTTCTCTCTCCTCTTCCTTCTTTCATTTTCCCCCCTTTTCTTTCATAAACTAATTCACATTTCCCTTCCGTTCTGATGCTAATCACAATCAGAGCTGGTTTTAAATTGGTTGGGGGGAAAAAAAAAAACAAAAAAAACAAAAGCTCCGTTCACTATGCGCGATTGAGCTGGCTGGCTGTGTTAAGTGATGTACGAGTCTGTGCTGAATGGTTAGAACAGCGTGGAAACAGAAAGGCCTGAAACGATCAGGGAGTCCCTGGCCTCGGGGACTAGCAGCTGCTTTTCCACCCACCGCAATGACTCACAGAGCGTCCGCACAAGCTCCTCTCCAAACCAATGCACACGCAGAGGCAGAGTGGCCTCAGTAAGCCAGCCGTCATCAGTCCCGTCTGGATTTGGTACAATTTCGCTGCGAAAGTGAGTCTGGTTGGTTGCTCACGCCATGTGACAAGGAGTAAGACGGTAAATCCATGCTTCATCACTTTTCTGCCATTCTCTGAGTCATCAGGAGAAAATGAACAACTCGATAATAAGTCTACGGAACGCTGTCCACCCCTCCACAATACATCACTGCAGTCTCACAAGCTGTCCAGGAGACGCAGTCATTAAACATCCAAGTGATTAATTTGGAAATTGAGGCTACAGATTGATCTAGGAAAGGTGGATCCCCTTGGAGGTGAAATTATCCTAGCAGAGGTTTCTGGTTTTACTCTGCAAGTGTGACTGAACTGAACCACTAAACATATTTACTGTTGCTGTGCTACAGAAAACACAATGCATCCTGTGCCAATCCTGCACTGCAAAAAATGGCATCTTGTCAAGTGAAATGATATATCTAACATTTCCCATTTTGAGACTGTTGTGCACTTACTGTAAGATTATCTAGCTTATTTGGTGGTGATTTAACCCTCTCTCAATGTCAAACCTTGATCAGGTTATTTGTGAATGGACCTAGCTAGCTAGTTAGCTATCTTGGTGTAGACTAACTTGCAGCTTGGTAATCAGCTGATAAACTAGGGCTGGGGTTCCTAAAAAGCATAACTCATATTGTATAGAAACATAGTGTAGTACAGGGGTCGGCAATCCAAATGTTAAGAAGAGCCATTTTGTCCTCTCAACAAAAATCAAACCACTTTGGGAGCCACAACATTTTATGTCCATTTTACCATCTTGGCTGTAAATCTGACTCAGTATGTGCTAATGCACTAGTATAGGTAAAAATATAATATAAAAATATAACATAATCTCGAGCAGGAAACTTTTCCTCAAAAGTGTAATACTTTCTTGTAAATTGTCTCTCAACGTTCGACTTTTTATGAGGCTGAAATCAGCTCCTCATTCGCCAGGAAAATTCAAACAAGAAGCTGGCGAATGAGAAGCTGACTACAGCATCATGACTTCTAGTGTTTGACAGTTTCTTATTGCAGATTAAACGGATCAGGAAACCAGCTGAGTGCTTATAAACGCAAATAAGTTCAGTCTCCAAATGATCAATGTTTGTCTTAAATCTTTCCCTTTGCCGCTTCATTAGCTACTAGCTAGGCGAGACTGTGGTCTGCGTTGATATGTTACCCGCAGTCTGGGTGCCAACCTTTAGGGTTAAAGATTGGTGAATTAGCAGATGTAGGCTACATTAACTCCAGCGTTTAAGACCATTTATTGTTAAAACTGTGTTGAACGATCAGCAGAGCTTTATTTTACTGCAAAGGAGGATTATTTTACTTTTACCAAAATATTTAATTCTGCTGTGGAGTTGCAACAGGGCAGTAAAAGAGCCGCATGTGCCCCTGGAGCTGCATGTTGCCGACCCCTTGTGTGGTACATATAGTAGCAAGCTAGCTTTACTAAACTTATTACACAAGTTCTACAACTTTCCAATTTCCAATTTAACCCCTGAAATATGCATTCCTGAAGGTGCCAAAAAGGGCCGTTCTGAGAGTTTGGACCAGGCTTTCAATATATGGTGGAAGTTCGAGGGAGGACTGTGTGAATGAGGGAGGGAAAGAACTCAGAGGACTTGGGCTGGAGTTCTCGGGAGCTTATGCTGGAGCTAGAAGGACTGACCCCACTTAGGACAGTGGTCGGCTTGACGGATAGAAGTGAGAAACAGGGAAGAGATGGGGTATTGTTGGGAATGTGAAAACTTTGTCACAGAAAACTGAGGATAGGATGGGAATTTATTGGAAGTAGGAGGGGTTTCAGTCATGAACCTTCTCTAAAAGTTCGTAAAAATCATAGAACCACCTTTAGTTTCCTAAAGCACCTTTCAATGGATGTTCCATCTCAATTAGCATTTTACCTAGAATTATACATCCAAGCCAAAAATAATGGCGTAACCCCTATATTTAAGACTGTAGGACTATGGTTCGAGAACAAGGTGCATTCACGCCTCTCTGGCCATTCAGTATCATGTGCGGATCGGATCGGAGCACAGCTGTGTCCTGCACCTCTGGCCCTGCGCTCTCCACATGGGGCCGCTCGCTCTCAGTCGTCAGCAATCAGGGTTCTGCGTTTGGGCCAACCTGCTCGGGCTAAGCGCTGATATTAGGCCTAGCAGCGTGAAGCTGGAGTACACTCCAATTACCCAGCCTCCACTCACACCTCCAAACCAATTACCCTCATTTACTGACAATCTGCAGCGAGGGAGGACTTTTTTTTCTACTGTGTGAGTGATTCCACAGTGCTGGTAGAGAGCCTATCTTTCTTGAGCAAGGATATGATTACTAACAGGGTGCCATTTGCCAGGGTGGTGGCTTTTGATATTCCACCCCCTCCTGAGTGCTAAGTTTTTATCCCCTGTGGGGATGCGCATTTCAGATGCATTACGGCGAGGCCACATCTCTGCATTTACAGTTGAATGATGTACAAAATGAAAGCAAACATCAGATAGTTGCTTGTCAACAGAGTGGATGTCAGCACTGTCAGCAGCAGAATGGGCTACTTTAATTTTGGAAGAATGGTCTGGTTGTCATGATGCGTTGCTATGTATTTAAGCACGCTACATGGGATCTCATTGTGATGGGCAGTTTGGTGGCTTAATTATGAAGCTGACGCCAGTATCAGTCACCAAAAATGAAGCTGAGTATAGGGGATGACAATATGGATAATGACGAACATGAAATTATTTCGTAATTCGAGTTAAGTCTAAGTCACGGATATCGCTGTTAATAACAAAAGCTTGGTGTAACTCTATGTGAATTATTTCTCACTACTAACTGACTAAAACAACTAAAGAAATTATTTGGAAAGTGCTGATTACAAACTTTCAGTCACTACCATGGCATGCCCACTCCAGGTTAGGGGAAAGGATCTGCCCCAGGTGGGGTAGTTTAAGTATCTTGGGGGTTTTGTTCACCTGGGAGCGGCTAAGGGTACCCTGAAATAAGCTGGAGGAAGTTGCAGGGGACAGGGTCGCCTGGGATTCTCTGCTCTCCCAAGTGCTACTGCGACCCTATCTGGATTAAGCGGTTAAAGATGATGATGATGATGATGATGATGAGTCACTACCACATACGCATTTGTAAATAGAAGAGGAAATATTTTATTACAATTTGAATTTGGTGAAATTCTGTAGAGATTCTGTAGAAAGAATAAACATCCTTTGCCAAGATTTTGTCATTTCTTGACCTCAAAATAAATGGAAAAACTTGCAGAGAGTAACTCACTTTGTAATTAATGTGTAAGTACACAATTACGTTTAAGAAGTTAAGCAAAACAGTAAAAACTCGACTTCTAAGGGTTAAACGTGGGAGAAGACAACTCATTATACAATGGCAACAAACCAACATGTGTACCTTTAGGCACTAACTATTTAAAAATGGCAAGCCAGTGGGTTCAAGTTTGCTATTCTGCAATTCTGATCTATTCCTTTGACATTTTTATTTAGGCAGTCAGGCTATGCAGATGCTGGTGTCAGCTCCATTTTGATTGTTTTCATTTTTTATATCAGCTGAAACTCTCCACTTTGTGCCCTTTAGGCATTTTAAAAACTCTGAGACCTAAAAAAATAAAGCAGTAAAGTTTCACTATACAGCAAATTAGGCCAAAACAGTAAAAACACACACAAAAAAAGTTTTTTCTCTCCTCTCCTGAAGAATTGCAGTTTTGGAAAGCGGGAGTTTTTCTAGCGACAGCAAATGAAATAGTCAGATCCCCTGCTATTTGAGATTATGTATAGAGAGTGAGCACAGACGGCCACTGAAGAACCCCAGAGAGAGCCGCTCTAAAGCAGCAGATTCGCTTGCTTTGGTGGTGAAAGCTCGTCTGCTAGCCACAGAAAAAACAGAGAATCAGCACTCACGATTGCAGGACGCTGCAGTTGTAGAAGACGAAATCAGTGGTGATGAACTTGAGCCCCGTCTCCCTGGACTTGAGCGAGAGCTTGACCACTCGCTTATCACCTGCATGAAGAAAAAAAAGACAGAGGAAAGAGGTCAGAGTGACCAATTAGTACAGGAAGCGACCAAGCAGGACTTCATACAGCAGGAACATAGTGATTATCCTCCTACCTGCACATAAATTCAGCAAAGTTCGTAACTCTAATAGGTTTGATTGCGAACGCATTTATCCACTTCCTCCATCTGCGAGCGAAATGCACTTACATTTCCAAACTCGACAGCCCTTTGCTTCCACTAATGACTAAATTTCTGGCCATCCAATTATACTTGTGTGCCTCACTTCACCATAATTGGCATAATATTTCCATTTGGACATGCCATAATTGTCATTAATGGGAATATCAGGCTTAGGTAGAAGTCTAAAGGTTACCGCTAGTACATTTGTGTTCTTAGAGTACATTTAAAAAATAAATAAAAACCTTGGATGGAGTTTCAGGAACATTATGATGAGCATCTCTGGCCTTGGACATTTTATCTAGCAGTAATGGGCTTGGAAATGTGAACAAACAGTGCTCTCTGATGACCCTTTTTCTAAGGACTGCTTACAACTGAGCAGTAAAATTAACAGTGTTTAAATTAACACCTACAATGTATGTTTGGACATCAGTGTAACTATACAGCACACACTGGAGATCCATTTTAAGCAGGTGTGAAATATATTATTGTCTGATTTCACCCCCACCCCCTGGTGAGTGATAACAGTATTGGTTGTGGTGGTGGGGGTTGGTTATGGTCAATAACTCTGAGAAATATCTATGTTTACGCGCTACCAGCATACCATCCAAGGGATATCTGCAGCACCTTCCACCGAGACAAATAATATGGTAACTCCACAGAGAAGCCTGCCTAATCACATAACTACATCTGAGCAGTATAAATAATAATTCTTGACTCCTAAGAGTTAAGGCAGACATGTCAAACAGGGGACCTTCAGGCCAAAAAGCTGCAGAAATTAGGGTATACCCTCATCTAACGCTCTGAATCCAGTTCATGAAGGCCTTGCTAATTAGCTGATGAGCTGAATCAAGTATGTTTAATGAGACAGTGTACAGAAGTCTGCAGTGTTTTGGTCTGACATGTGTGAGTTAAGGGGTTAACTCTAACTCTAAATCAAACATTTTGCCTGCGATACTTCTAAAGACTTTTGCAATGTCTCCTTTAACTCATTTAAATCTGAGACTAGAGGAGTAACGGTGAGTAAGTCTCCACGTTGGCCACAGAAATATGTCTCAGTGTGTAGAATCAGAGCTTTCTATGGGAATTTCTATTTCAGAGCTCTTCTATCACTGTATAAAAGAGGCATGAGTTTTCTTTTACTGCTGGATCTATTGTGCTTTTTCCGAGGGCATGAACTCATTCAGAGAGCAGTTGTGATCACGTTTAAGCACACTGTTTTCTTTAATCAGAGTAATGATAAAATGTCAGTGATGTGTGCCTTACAATCGTATTCATGCATTTTCTTGTTCTAAAAAGTAGTTTGTGACATGAACGAAATAAAAAAAAGTTTACATATTTTCGCTATTAAAGGAGGAGAGCAGATTAAATGGCTGAAATCACATTTTTGCATCAGCTTTGAAGGGTTATTCAGAGTAATGATAACGTGACACTTTTTCAGGCATTTTCTTGTTCAAAAAGTTTACACAAACATTATACAAAAATGTCTAAAATGTACAAATCATTACATCATATTCATGTTAACAGGAAGAGCAGATTAAAAAGGAGAAATAGCCAAAGTTTAAGATTTAAACGGTTAAAAATAAGTATAAGTAAGAGACAAGGATTCCTCAAAAGCAGGGCTGCCCAAAGTGTGGCCCGAGGGCCAGTGTTTGATTTGGCCTGCTGAAAGTCACCTCGTCCTAACCCTATCGTTTTCAAAATTTGTATTTTCGAAGTTTTTTGGTAATATAATATAGTGTAATGTTATAAACACTCTATTTTAACCTACCAAACTTCTTTACTAGTTAGTTATTTTGACTTTTTGGCTCAGCCAACCACAGACAAAAAGTTTATGCACCCCTGTTCAAGAGTGCCGCACATGCATTGTGAGTGTTTGATGTGACTGCTCGATCTCCATGTCTTACCGTATCCATGCGTCAGTGTTGGGACGTCCCGCAGAGACGGTGACATACAGAACACCTGGCCTTTAGGCAGCACCTCTCCTGGGCTTTCGCTCAAATCCTCAAAAACACACGTCACGCCCACCGACAGGTTCGGTACATTCGTCACCTTAACGCTCAACTGTAATACAGCAAACACACACAGAAGGATGTGCACACAGAGAAATGACCATGAGACTTCATAACAAAAGCACTGTCTGATTCAAATAAATAAAAAACACGGCTGAATCAAAACAGATTCACGTTCTCTGTCACAACATTTCCAGCTTTGGCAATAGAGCATCTACACAGATTCATTTAATGGTTTCATTTAAACAAACATTACACAAGATTAAAGTAATATCCAGGCAGACATGCGCTACATCTAACAATATACTCAATAACAGTCTATAAAGCCTGAAGGGCAAAAAAGGTTCAAGCCTGTGGCCCGACGTGTTTCAAAGAGCCTTATTTTCCATTCAGAAAACAAATGTCTGCTTTTACTGACTGTTTATCACAGTTATATGGGGATCAAACTACACAGTTACTTGTATGCTTAAATAAAAATGTGAAAGTAAACTGCAGATTATGGTTGCACAATATGGAGGTTGTTCACTGCACATAATACAAAAGCGATGCTTTGGAAGCAGCAAAAACTGGGTCCACAGAAAAGGCCAATTCACCTGAGTGGAGGCAGCGGTCACAGACATGTTCTGGGGGGTGACGGTGATGTCTACACACTGTTTGAGCTCTGTGTTGAAGTGTTGAGGCACCTCCCATTTCTGACAAGCTTCCTTCCTGGAACACCTAAACACAAATTCAAAGCATAGTTTAGACTCCAGAGTCCAGGGCCTGCAATCACACAACAGCACTTGTTTACATAGTCCCACAAACCTGGTCATTTAGAGCTTTGCACCTACGCTAAGTTGAAGGCTTTATCTACCAGGGTTTATACCAACCCTGATTTTCCTAAACACTGGATGTTGCCCAGTCTAGTCTGGGTATAAACGGCACTATCAACGTTGTTTCTTAACTCCAAATTCCATTCAGTTTCTGGCCTCAAAGTCAGCTTCTCATTCAAATTTTCCTGTTCCACCTTAAATGATGCAGGAGTTACACTCTGGCGCCTCAGGCACCATTTAAGGTGGAACGGGGAAATTCGAACAAGAAGCTGGCAAATGAGAAGCTGACTTCAGCCTTGTAAAAAAAATCCAACGTTGAGAAACATTTTACAAGAAAATTATTCTACTTTTGAGGAAAAGCTTCCTGTTGGAAATGCTAGGAAAGCGGCTATAGCTGAGCTAAAGCTTAAAGCAGAGCAAAGTAAGTAAAAATTTTTTATTTGTATTATATTTTATTTTTTTTATTATATATTTACATTTTACATACAATTACAATTACATATTTACATGAGCACTTACTGAGACATGTTTACAGCCAAGATGGTAAAATGGATATAAAATGTTGTGGTTTGATTTTTGTTGACAGGACAAAATGGCTCTTCGTAGCTGACCCCTGTGCTAGAAAAAGCTAGCGGTAGCAGAAATGAGCCAGCAACCAGAAGGTCATAGGTTCAAATTTCAGGACTGACTGGGTAGACCTGGTTGCCCCAGGTGGCACTGCTGTGCTGGAGACGCTGTGCTGCTCCCAAAGTGGGCACAGTGAGGGAGCAAAACGGCAAATGTCCCTTGTAGGACGAATAAAACTACATAATTGAAAAATTACATAATTTACATAATTATGTAAAATTACATAATGAAAATGTAAAAAATTAGTGGAGTATGAGCTTCTATTTCTTGTTCGCTACATTAGCCTTGGAGCTCCAATGCAAAACTAAAGAAGCAAACGCCAAACACCAAACACGTCTTGGCTGATTGATTGCACTTATGGTAAGAAGACAATTGTGAGAATTAATTTTTTTGCCAAACTATCGCTTTAATCCCTGTGTAAAAGGACACCTTATAGATAAGCCTCACTGATCAGACTTTTTTGTTTCAGTCTCTGAACACTACACACTGAGCAACAAATCCTCTGTGCACAATACACCCAAATCAATAGCTCCCAACATCTCCAGCCTGGGTCAGGGACGATATTGATGATGTTTATGAGACGGCACGGTGGAGTCGCTCCCCTGCGCACGTCTATATTTCATGTTTTGTTTTTCTTGCGCCGTCTGTGGAGGCGAGTGGCCTGGTTTTCCCGAGAGCAGATACGCTGAGCGGCAGCCGGATATTAAAACATTCATAACGCTGGCACATTTGTCAGACGTGTTAAGTGGAGTTAAAAGTTGCACATGTTTGTGCTAGGCAGATGAACTGAGGACTGTGTGTGCGTCGAGGGGGGGTTACTGCGGGTTAATACTTGCAAATGGGCGCAAATCTCCTTATTTTTCTCTACAGGCACTTAGAGATGCTACAGCCCTCAGGCCAATCTGACCATATCTACTCATAACATATGCAAAATAAAGCCTGTTTCAGTTAGCCGCTCCAAATGTGGCTGATATGGTGGAACCAATATATATTGACCAGTTCTTAACTGGGTTTTAACATGAATCAGTGTTAATTTACAAAACATGTCTTATTTAGATTCAAATAGCTTATGTGCTTATTGATTATGTGGTTTCTGACAAACTGTTCTCTACACTTTCAGACAAAAAGGTAGTAAACTGTCACTGGGGCAGTATCCCTCTTGTCACTTGGGTGGTTCCCTTAAGGGTACGTCTCAGTACCTTTAGTCAGGGCACATAACTGTGCCATAATTCACTGAAATTTTCTAAGTTGTATCGACTCCACACACCCCGTCTCGTCTCCAGGCTTTTCATTTTATTGTTCTGCTTTAAAACATTAGGTTATTAAAAGGTACAAATATGTATATTGTCACTGGGTATAACTTATTAAAGGTACACAACTGGACCTTAAAACCACTGTTGTACCTTTGAGGGAACATTTACATTGTTTGTACCTTGATGAATGAAAAATGTACCAGCACAGAACCTTAAATTACTAACGGTGTATAGTGCAGTACATAAGTCAAAGACCACCATTCATTTATTTAATATCTAGTTAAAATATTTGTTTTATTTGAGCAAATAAATACAAAAAAATGTGTATATATATATATATATATATATATATATATATATCCATCCATCCATCCATCATCTAAACCGCTTATCCTTCTGGGTCGCGGTGGGGTGCTGGAGCCTATCCCAGCTGTCATTGGGCGGAAGGCAGGATACACCCTGGACAGGCCGCCAGTCCATCGCAGGGCTATATATATGTATATATATATATATATATATATATATACACACACACTCAACAGAAAATTACACAGACTCTTTAACAATGTGATATCTATTTTTTCAGTATTTAGTGTGTCCACACTTTGCCTTTATTACAGTGTACATTCTATTTGGGAGACTTGCTTTCAGTTTCTCAAAGAAATATGCAGGGATATTTTTCCAAAACTACGAAGTTCAGTCTTACAAGTTGTTGGCATGCTGCTCCTCATCATCCAAGTGATCATGATGTGATGTTGAGGTCTGGACTCTTGGGTGGCCAGTCCATTGTTGTTGGAGCTTGATTTTCTCCTCTCTCTTTTAAAGATGAAAGCTTTAAGTGCTGTTTTCTGAGGGGGATAATTTTGGTGGTCTACCATGTCTCGCATGGTTGTTAGGAGTCCCATTTACTCTGTAGCTTTTAATAATATTTTCAACTTCAGTTCTGGAAACTCCTGTTTTTTTGTCACTTTTCCCTTTCCTAATACAAGTGGATGATCTTCTATCTAATCTTCTCAGAAGCATCTCCTAAAACAAATAACTTGTATTTAATGGCTGTCTTGAGTGGAAATTAAATAAATGGAGGGCGGTCTCTGACCTGAGTACTGAACATCATATAGTTAAAACAGCAGTAGCCATGTACGAAGCCTGAATATTGTCTGTACTTTTGTATCACATTTGTGATACAAGACTGTGTAAATTTAATTTTGGGTGAATTATCACTTTAAAGCCAGCGAGTGAACATTGATGACTTTGAGACCTTTTTGGAGTTTAGATTCAAACCTAATTCTCAGCATGTATTCGATGTAACAGCACAAAATATCAGTCGCACTGCAGAGACAGCAATGCTGAATCAACACATACTGTATGCATCTACCCGGTCTTGCCCGCAGGCCCTACAGCCACTGTGCGACATTCCATATTTTAATCTGATTCTTACTGCAGGAAGAGCCGGTCTCTGCAGTTTTTGGCTAATTTGAATTCAGCTGTTGCTTGACTGGGGTGCATCAGGATATGAAACTTTTAGGGCCAATGGCAAAAAAACCCCCAAAAAACTATGTCCAATTCCACCAATATGAACATTTTACACTTGCTGTGTAAAATGTGGAACATTATGAGCAAAATAAAAACAGACCATCAAATCAAACAGGCTTATCAGTTTTGCTATGAAAACATATACTCAATGCCATTTGCTAGTGGCAACAGTGGTGTTCTGGGCACAACCACAAGTGTCCACTCATCCAAAACACAAGCTAATTACTGCGTAATCACATCAGAACAAAACATAAGGCAGGGTCTAATATCAAATACAACTGCCATTTAAAATAAAAATGGGCCAATATCAATACAAAATGGTCATTCTGTGCATCCCTACTAGATATATCACCCAAAACCAATATGTTAGGCCTGTTGAGAACAATATGGATAATGAAATCAGACAGATTTATCTGTTTTCTATAAATATGTCCTCACTGGGCACAACCACAAGTTCTTCCATTTATCCGTAACACAGGGAAATGAATGCGTTATTATATCTGCCCAAAAAGAATGTCAGAAAAGCCATAACATCAACAATAAATAAAATACACACTGAATTCTGAAATCAATCAAATATTATTTTGATTCTTGAACATGTGCTTGCAGAATGAGAATAGTCTGTTTGATTGTAAGTACTGAGAGAACCCTGAGAACTTAGGCTCACTCTTTAAAAATTGGTTCTTCAGGGGTTCTTTAGTAAAGGTAATGGTTCCATATGGAATCACAAACATTTAAAGAACTGTTGGAACGCGTAAATGGTTCTTTGCCAGGTCAGTACGATAGAAAACCAGTCGTATATGGATCTTTAAAGAACCCTTTTAGAAATGGTTCTATGTAGCACCAAAGGGGTTCCACTAAGAACCTTCTTCAGTCCTCATTTGCCAAGAGTGTGGACTTCTTCTACTACAAAAGACCGGAACAAGGAGGTGGTGGGGTGTGAATGCTTTGTCACACATGGTAGAAAGTAAATATTTTTACATTCAAAAGAAGTTGGACAGGAAGAAGGATGAGGAACTTCTTCCAAACTTTATTGTTCTTATGTTAATGGTAGCATACATGGCTACACATAGCTTCTATTGTTGTCAGGTAACCTGCTTCGCTAGGCTAGATTTGTTATAGATATTAATAGGATTTGTTCAGCTTTTTCTGCTGGTATCAGCTTAAAATCAATTCTGGTTATTAGATCAATATCACTATGCTATTTATTCTACATTACAAAAATATAAGTCAATATTGATGAAGTATCAATGCTATTGTGCATCCATACTGTTCCTTTGAGCGAGGAATGGGAAGAGGCAAAGCAATATGATGACATCACCCACCAGAGACTTCCTTTAAATGAAGCTCTCTTTTACCCTGCTAATGAACTGCAGGTGGGAGACAATGAAACGTCTCTTAATTTGAACCCAGCGTCCAGTGGGAATCTAACGATGATGAGCAGAGCACAAATAAAACTCAGAGATTCTGACAGGATGCAGGTTGCTCACAG